GTTCCAAATTTCTCCCCCGTTGGCACTATAACACTGAAAGACGGCGGTGTGAACAATTCTCCTATGGTGGCTGTTTCGGAAATTCGAATCGTTTCTTAACCAAATACGAGTGCGACAATGCCTGCACATTCAATGATGTTTGTGGACTTGACAAACCAGTGAGTTCTCATTCCTGTAAAAATACTAATACCAACATTATTATTATTTCAAATGGCAGGCGTTTTGATAGATATCATTAGCCATTTAGCTGACTTCGGGTTTCACAGTGGGAAGGTTCATCAAAGTAGCAGAAAGTCGAGGGGTGGGGAACAGAAGAGCGATTCACAGATGTAAAAGAGGCAGACAGACACAAAGATAGAGAAAAAGGTAAGGTGAGTACTGTGAAAGGGGTCGAATATGGCAACCAGGGGGGTCGTGGTAGTTTGAAGTCAGAAGTCAACTGCCGGTTGACAGACTTTTTTGCCGTATGAGTATACGTTGCCCAAGGTGCACCACGTGGAGGTAAGTCTATCGCGCACCCCCTAATACTAACATGATCTAAGATTGTAAATCACTTTCGAATAAGGCGATACGTGAATGCCTATTTTATTCATATCAGAGAATGCGATAAGTGGGTGCAATGGGTTTGGAGAGATAGGATCTGGTTCATTTTTAGATAGAATTAAAACCGGAACTTTTAAGTGTTGCGTAAAACCTCCAAGTGGCTAATGGCATGGAAATGACTACAAATGCAAACTCTTAAGGGATTTTTTGTACAACCATTCTCCAAGTGCTATAGAGATCTCAGTTTTGCGATAGCATACGGTTTCAACAAAGCAAGTGAAACAACTTAGACGCCATTTAACTGTGTACAATTGAAGGTCAACTATAATATAGATAATTCTCAAGCAATCAAATAACTCAAGGTTAGAAGGACTAAATTAGGGGAATAATTGGACAGGTTGTCGGTTAATGGCTTACACTAGGTCTGATTAGCAATGTCTGTCAAGATTTCGTAGATATGACCGAATAGTTAATGAAATCCTCTACTGTCAACTTTTCCGTGTAGTAAATTAGTTTTTTTTTACTTTAAAATTTTGAGCACAAAGTAAAATCGTATTTCCTAAGCATCAGCATTGGTTAGTGATTTCGAAGAAAATTTACGCAATCTTATTCGTCCATTGTATCTTCATTTTTTTAATGCATCAGCCTTTTGTAGTAATTAATGGTGTAAACACCTTTAACTTGCGAAAGATTCTTGAGGCTGTAACGATGTTTCCTGTTAAAATGCTTTATTTAATCCTGCTAAACCAAACACAAGCAAATCAAGTTTAAAACCAGAAGGATCAGTTATCTTTTCCTCTGGAAATGTTGCAGACAAGATAGAGGCATTCTGAGCGTTGTTTCAAGTAGAACTTACTAAAGCTAGAATGGGTATGAATTGGTTAACTATTTTAAACTCAACCGGTGATATTTTAACTTTAAAGGAGTAAGTTATCCACTGTGGATGAAGTTATTGAAAACCTAGGTTTGATACTTTGCAGTGACAATTTTATGTGTCTATGACAGTGATTCATGGTGACAGAAGGTTGTGGAGGAGGAGGAGGATTAATGTCTTCGACAGCATCTTTCCACTTGCGCCCTTTTTTTGCCTTTGCAGAAAGAAGCAGAAGGAAACGAACCATCAACCCTACGTTACTATTTCAATCAAAGCAATGGGATGTGCGAGAAATTCTACTTCTCTGGAAAGATTCCACAAGGCAATAATTTCCCAAATGAGGACACTTGTCGTAGTGTGTGCACCTCTTCACCAAATCTCCTTCCAATTTCTGTTAAAATAAACCGAATGGCTGCATCTATGGACCGACTTGCCACAAAATTTGGCCATGTAGCGAGGCACCCTGTCCTCGTCAGAGGTATAACATTTCATCATCTCACTTTTTCACCAACCTGATTTGGCTATTCTTAGACATTCATTACAAAAGTTGACAAAAGCAAGAGCAAAATGTGGCAATGGAGAAAGGGGAATAGATTGTGCTGTGCTTGCCTATATTTTTCCACGTACAGCAAATTCAAGTGTTTTTTGAAATTTGCCCTCAATTCTTACGGCGAATTTATCGTCTAAGTGTTAGATCAACTATTAAAGTTAAATCCGCATCTTATATATAATTAAGAGAATAAAGTAGATTTCTAAGTGATCAAAAACAATAACACAACCCCATTTTAATAGCAAAATACATTCTTTTATTTACTTCTTTTCTAAACACAACGATTCGTGAAATTACACTGAACACAATCCCTTATTGATTTATCGATCGAAAATAAGATTAAAACAATTTTTGTCATTTCATATAATGCTAATTTCGCGCCACAATTTTAGATAACGTTAAACCATTTCCAGAATCCCTTAATTTTTTTTTAAAATTAATTTGGCAGTAATTTACATTTCGTTAATTATACCACAGTTATTTAGGAGGCTCCAAATCTTTGGACCATAGTATCAAGATAAATTCAAATAACCCAATAGTGGCCATGACAATCACTGCCTTCCATCACACATCAAAGGCCTTTCAGAGATAAATGCTTAAAAAGGGATTGTGAAGGCGCAATTTTTACTACTTTATGTGAAGCAAGACCAGACGATTCCTATCATTGAAAAAATGGGTTAATATCAATACTGCCAAAAATCATTTCAAACACTACTATTAGCTGGCTTATTGACGCTGGTTATTTGCGTAGACAATTGTGTTCACCTTCATTCCCTTTTATAGGGCACAAACCGGCTTGCATATCATCGTCTCAACTGCTTGGCATCTTGAAGAATGAGACGATTAAAAACTGTCATCCTGGTGGCACCGTGACTGAACTTGCATTCGCGTATGACGGCTCAACAAATTCGTGCTTCGCGACAATGATCTACGTTTGTCTCGACTATCCTAATGAACCATACCGAATCAGAATTCTCGGTCGACCGTTAATCTTCGAAAGTGAGACTCATTGCGAAAGTGAATGTCTTCTTAGCGAAAGTTGATTAACATTTTTGTGAGACTTATAAAAAGTCCCCTTACCTTCACCCAGACTGTAATGCAACGAGATCCAATATCACAAAAAACTTTGTCATCGATTTTGCTAACAATCATCCCTACTCTCTCCCAAATCCCTGCCCCCCTCCAACTTCCTCTATATGCGTTTATCTTCTCCTCTTTCTTTTTCTCAAACTGCCACCTGATACGCATTTGAAATGTTATTAATATTATTGGCTAAATTAAGATTTATCTCGAGGTTTTACATTGGATTTTTGAAGATAAATAGAAGAGCGTTCGCTGTTGTTCATTGTGAAGCCGACCCATATAAACGGAAATTGAGGAAATTGGAAGAAATACCCAGTTTTATCAAACATTTCTATTAGGAGGCTGGGAGGGGGAGGGGCGGACCACTTCTATGATATTGGAGCAATTTGATTACTTTCACCTAGATGACAGTAAAAATTCGTAGAATATATAAGTGTGTTCATTCCTGAAGGGAAGTCATATTCACCAACTCAGCGTTAGCCTGAATACAAAACAATCGATTTAGTGGCTTTATTTATCGAACCTTGTTACCCAATTTCTGCCAAATGTGCCTCATTGGGCCAACCGTCGACTTACTTGGTGTTTCTACTTATACCAGCAAAAATCATGGTAGACAACTGAGGATGCACGGAGTTGTCAATTCGACAACGCTACAATTTGACATGATGCATTGATCAACATGACTCAGCATTTTTTCTAATGACATTATTATTCATCAAGACGTGACTCATTTTTGACAGTTAAGGTGAGTTGCCATGACAAGTTGAAATGGACGGAGCAAGTCGGAAAGATCGCCGATAATTGGAATTTACGCTGAACTGCCTCGATGCTCTTGTAAATTTCTGAAGCATAATGAACCACAGTAAAATGGTGGTTATGGAGAATTGTTGGAACTTTCAGTTGAAATTTAGTAAAATTCCAATTTCCGCAATTGGTAATTTAATTCTACAACTTAAGGCAATTCGAGCAAAATGAATGAAGTTCTCTACCTCTTCACATACCCCTGGTATGCTAGTATGGTTATTATTAATTAATCTATTCGCCGATTGTTTATTTATATCAAATGGTAGGTTTTATGGGAGTCATCATTAACCCTTTAGTTGACTTCGGACTTCATAGAGTGGAAAAGGAACATCAAAGTAACAAAAGTCGGGAGGGGGGGGGGGGCAGAATATTAATTCACAGATGTGAAAGAGACAGACAGACACAAAGGTAGAGAAAAAGGTATGGTGAGGTGAGTACTGTGAAATGGTGGAATATGACAAACAATCGGGTCATGGTAGTATGAAGTGAGAAGTCAACTGCCAGTTTATGGACTTAATTGGCGTATGAGCGTACGCTATCCAGACTGCACCACGTGGAGGCAAGTCTATCACGCACCCCTTTATCCAACATCTAATTCTCTATTTGGTTAATTATTTTCGCAATAATGGACGTCCTCTCCCCTGAGGTCTGAGTGGTTCATATCTTATCAGGCAAACAATTGGGCGAAATTTTACAGTTGCCAACTATTGAGTCCGCTCTAATTACAATCCTGAACATCGTTACTGAAGTGGAGTAGTCATCCACTTTGATTGGGCGTCCTATCTTTTTTATCAACTGTCTTTTTAACTTCATTATCGGCTAATTTACTGCTCCACATAATAAGATGCTTCCATGTAAATACAAAATAGGTTTTTTTCTTTTGTTATGAATGGAAAACTTTTAACTTCCACTCTCAACTATTGTTCTCAACAATATGAACGCACTGGTTATTGAAACTTCAACACAGCATTAAACAAGTCAAATTAGTTTGGGAGTGATTTTAGGAAAAATGGCGATGAATCTGTGTTGCATTGACCGAAATTGTTCTTGAATCGCCACTCCCTGAGAAAATTTATTCACTTTTTAGACTTCATATTCACTGAAGATTAAATCAAATTAAATGGGAAACTCACCTCGTTAATCTCTTGACCGACAAATCACACTGAATTTTCTGACCTCTAGCTATTCACTTCATTTCTAGTAGCTTTCAAGTTGAACTGATGAACTTTGCGAAATTATTTCCTTTTGTGCCACGTCTCATCATTAAAACTCCCTTGAAGTAAATTTTAATGATTATACACCAAATTAGTCCTTTTCTATTGCATCTGAGGGTATGTTGCCAACCGTTTAAGAAGTACATTGATATAACGGGTTTAAACTAACTCTGGCAAATAGCAAATGTCCTTCGTATACCCAATCACACTTCTTTGATATAAATTCACTTTTCTTATTACACAAGTGAGGTGTGTTTACATCGTCTCTTAAATGAAAGAGACAAGAACCCTCCCCCCCCCCCCCCCCCCATCACCCACAACGTAAATACATTCACGCATGGCCGATTGGGTTACGTTTGATTGGATTGGTCTCCGTAGGTGTTCCAAAAGCATGGATAAACGCGGCTAATCTGTTTATCCACTGCCCCCCCCCCACCCACCCACCCCTCCAATTCACATATTTTTCATCCTTAATTTACACACAAACTCTCATGTGTTGTATATACATTTTTCCGGTTGTTTATTTCCACGCAAGGGGTGTCGGTGTGAACTTTGATTATCACTTTAACAGTTGTTTCAGCGTTCAGTTTAAAATTCTCCCCAATTGTAGGACAGGCTGTTAGATATTAGCATTTCACCAAGTAGTGTTTCCATTAATTACGAAGGTACATTTTTTTCTGCGATTACTGATGCCTTTTCTGTTGAAATAGAGGCGGACGAATTCAAAAAATTAGTATCTGTTCGGGAAGCCCAACTTTTTATAGTAACTGAGGTATGAGCACTAAAAGATGGCTTGGGAGTGAAGACGATTAATTGAAAAATTGTCTACTACATGTGCAATTTACCTTTCAAATCTATGATCCGATCTTATATTCTAGGTAAGCTATAACAATTTGTCTCACGAAGTATTGGTTATTCATTCTTTAGTAACCCTCAGTCAATAATATATGATCTGTCAAGGTCAACTCCTCAGTCATAAACCCGATCTTTGTCAAAATCATGCGCGAAATTAGCAACGCTTTTTACAACCTCCGTGATGAACTATAAGAGATATCTAATTTTGTTCATTTTCAGTGTATTTGTTTGCCAAATTAAAATGCTTTTGGAGAGGACATTGTAATCACTACTACCCCCAGAAATAAATTTTAGTTTATCTAATCGTTCAGTAGAGAAATTATAAGCAAGATTAGATCAATAGACTGGTGATGAAAGATATCGAAGAACTAAGATCCGAGCCTTAGTTGCATCAAACCTTATTCGTTTATAAAATTGTAGATGGGAATTAATAAGATGCTACTTGTGGGAACTCGTGAACCAATCACATGTGGCACTTTGACTAGAAGTGGTTCTAATGGTATTCAACCCAAGTATTCATCCTAAGCACCACTTGTGTAAGTCACTGACTCAGCAATTGATTTTGAAAACTGTATAACTTCGTGTGTTTCACTTAGGGGAAGTAAACATCATAAATTTCGTTCTCTATTTGCGAGCATAAAACTTCTTCCCCCAATTCATATTGTGATGAATACAGCTTTCAGAAGAAGGAAAAATTTCACTGATAAATTTGAAAAAAAGGAAAATCAAAATCAAAGAGAGGCAAAAAAAACTATTGCAAGAGGTCCATACAATTCAAGGCACTAAATCTGAAGACAATTTTAAGGAGGCGGAAGGGAACAAGTAAGAGGGGTAAATGACGGGAACAAAAATTTTGACTAATAAATTTCGAAAAGAAAATATCTCATGCAGAAATATAAGTGAGTCGGAGAAGGATAAAGTATATATGCATATTGCCTTTTCGATAGTTTTTTTTTCATAAATGTGATTTTGTTTATAAAATGAATAGATGGGGTGGAAGCGGGGGGGGGGGTTGTGGAGGTGGTAGTGGTGGTGGTGATTAAGGACATAAATCAATACGACCCATTAGTCATACCGAGAGATTTTAATCAATTCTCTTACTCCACGCTTTGATTCATCTAATGTGAAATGAAGAATGAGGTAGGTATTAAACAATATTTCTGAACTATAGAAGATAAAAAATAGGCCTAGAACTTACTCTGTTTGACTTTCTAAGACCAGTGGTAACTTTAGTAAGTAGTTCCTCAGCTGCTACTACCTCAGGAGAACGGAAGGTCTTGACTCGTATCTCAGTACCTTGTTCCATTTGGATGATCTTCTCCGGTTTCGGTTTAGCTTTCGAAAAGGCTTTGCTCAATTCTTCAGTGCGCTCTACGTGCTTCAATTGAGCTTGTCGTCTGAATGGATTTTCTGGCATTACGTGCTTGAGATCGGGAAGCTTGTAATCGGCTGGATGAACAATCATTTGAGTGCTGGCTTCAATGTTACCCTGACTATTTGATCCACGAACTCTGATCTCGTGTTCACCCAATTCGAATTGGGTTTTATTGATCTCAAGCACACTGATACCGCCGTCACTAAGAGCTTTGATAATGGAATCCTGATATATGACAAAAAATGAAGAATTTTAGCGATTATTACCATCGAGGTTTCAAAGAGGGCGAACAGAGCATAGTATTTACCTGGTGAACGGGTTCGCCATCAATAAACCACTCGATTTCGGGTGTTGGGTAGCCACTCATGCGTACCAAGAAACGCACTGGAGAGCCTAAAATGACCTCTGCTGGGTTGAGTTGCACGTCAATACTTGGAGGTGTCGGGGTCTGCTCTTCATCGGCGTAACGTGCAGTATCAAACCTAAGAAATAATGGGCTACGGTTTTAGGCTTTAAGCATAAAACTGAACAAATTCTACACCTACCACAAGAGATCAGGTGTGATTGAAATTTCATTTAAAAAATTATTCTTATAAATGGGTATCCCCAACCACCACTCTCCATGTTACGCTTACCGCACACAGACCAATCGGCTATTTGCCAAATCCTTATTTTTTTCGACTTAAACTCATTATTTTTCCATTTAATTTTGCCTTGTGGTTAGGGGTGCGCGATAGACTTACCTTCACGTGGTGCACTTTGGGCAACATATACTCATATGCGAAAAGTGTCTGTAAACCGGCAGTTGACTTTAAATTACAATGACCACTCTGTATATCATATTCCTCCACTTTCACAGTACTCACCTTTCCTTTTTCTCCGCCTTTGTGGCTGTCTCTTTGGCTAATTTAAATCACTCTTCAGTTTACCCTCTCGAATTTTTGTGACTTCGTCTGTTCCACCCCTCTGTGAAGCCAGGAGTCAACTTATTGGCTAATGATATCCATCAGAAACCCTACCATTCGATATAAATAAATGCTTGGTAGCTAAGTGAAATGACTTCAAGGAGGCTGGAGGACTGGTTTTCGACATTGATCTCAAATAAATAAAATTTTATTTAAATAACGTTCAAAAATATCGATTAATTGGAAATTTGTTGTAGACAACCATACTGGGACTTTAATTTGGAAGACTTAATCTGCTGCCAATTAAGAATGGAGTTAATTGTAATTGACCGATAATAAACAAATATAAGCTGAGTCAGGGACCTAGAAAGAACAAAATTTTTCAAGTTCTTACGATTCATTGCCTTGTTCAATAGCTTGAATGAGTTTGTAACCTTCCGATCCCTCAAGCAGATTGCTTTGAGTGATGATGGCGGCGCTTGGAGTACACTGGAGTTCGAGACGGTCACTTTCAACTGTGCCTGTGGCATTAGCGATCATGCAGCTATAGACACCACTGTCCTCAGGAATAGTATGGCGAATCAACAGGCTGGCAATACCACGTTCATATTCAACATGGAAACGTGTCCCGTTTGTCAGTGGCTCACCATCCTTGCACCTAAACCAGGAAACCCCTATTACTGAAATGGTTTTAAGTAGAGTATATTATAGTTTTGAAATCTACTTGCCATTGGACAACGAGACTTGCATCAGTTGATGGCTCGTATTGCAGACGGAATTCTACAGGCTCATCTTCAACGCAGCTTCCAACAGGTTTCGGTTGAATAACAATAGTAGGCATAGCCGCTGGGCCTTCTTCTTGGAAGTTGTCGGGTTTGGGCGCATTCAGCATTTCTTCGAGGGCCTTAACAGCTTGGAGACCTAAAATAATGGAGTAACTTTATCAATACGATTTATACTAGAAGGATATCAACCTAACGCTAGGTTAGGTACATTGTACTTCCCACTTTTGATATCATTTTTGATATGAAATAGGTATGCTATAATTTTTCAGATCTCAATCAAAGGCAAGTAGATTTATTAACATGGAAATTAAATTCAAATAGTTAATTTGACTGAAAAGCAATTTTATTAGGTAGATGGTCCCAAATCTAGATTAAAATTTTGGAATCGAACTCTTGTGACAGTTTTTAGACTAGTTTTAAATTTATTAACTTTTCCAAATCCTTCTAATAATATCATTAAAATATTCACCATACAATTTCATTCTTCTTTTCAATGCAAAGTGACCAATTTTTAAGTGGAAACAAAGAGTCTCTTCTATGTTCTCAAGTCGTTTGGATAATATCTTCTTAAATAGAGGCTTACCATTTGGAGCCTTCAGTTGGGTTTCCATGTCGAGATTCTTGGTGGTCTCAACAACCAATTCAGCAGGCTGGCTTTGAGCTTCTCCATGTTCAGTGGTGACACAGCACACATAGGAACCCATATCCGAAGCAAGCACATACTTGAAGCTCAGACTTGCCATTCCCATTTCGAGTTTTCCGTTGATACGGGAGCCTAGGAGATAAAGCATCAATTGCATGTATCATCACAATTCAATGAATGATAGAATTTGTTAAAAATTCAATTCGATTACTGTCTTCCTATTACAACTTTACAAGCGTAGAAGTTGGGTGTTATGAAAGAACTGACTGGCTGAATGACTTACCGAAATGAACAGGTTCGCCATTTTGGAGCCACACAAAATTGACCTTGACGCCATTTCCAGTTTCAACGGGCACCTCAAAGTAAGCATCCATGGTCTCGACAGTGGTGAGTTGGGGAGGTACAATGGCTCCAGTGAATGAGGGTGGAATCGGATCAGGTGTCTGCTCAAAACTAAAATTTAAGCAAGATATAAAGATGCACTTACTGAGTAATTCTCCCATGTTGATTTATGGGCCTCAGTTTCAAACTGTTGCGTGGCAGATTTTATTGGTTAACGATTTTGTTTGCGAACTATCACCTGGTTTTAGTCAAAAGGTCTATTTTCCAATTTTCTGAGCTGTCTCCTTGTATCTTCTAAGTCTATTCTTTCCCCCATCTTCAATGAGTTCGCCCGATACACCATCGATCAACACCCCATTTTTATTCAATTTTTGTTTGAGTGAACTCATGTGAGTTCTATTAAGCTAACATCGATTGAATCATTAATATCCTACTATCTTCATCAGTTAAATGAAAATTCTACTCTTTATTCTGCTGAAAGTTCTGTACGTCAATAGAAAAATAAAAGATCAAATTTCAAATGCAACAGTGTTGCGTGCATTTAATTTACCTTTCTATGTACTTATTTATTGGAAGCTATTTCGCTCAAACTTGCTGAACAAATTAGAGCAATCTATTGAAATTCATGCCAGTTTGCTCCACTGAATTAGGCTTAGGACCTTTGGAATGACGTGCATTTTAAAGGACCAAAATTTAAGATTCCATTTTTAAACTTTATTCTGAGACCGAGGGTGAAAGTAATCTGCTTTAGCAACCCCGATAATTTAATATTAAACTGGTGTTTGTAAACAGGATTGATAACTGACTACTCTTGACGACTCAGAAGAGTATGACATATTCTGTATATGCGGAATTCATCTAGTAAGGAAAAGAAGACTTGTAAATGTACCTCAAATTTCCCAGTTTGCTTACCGATTCCTTTGTTAAAAATAGTTCACTACATTCCACTTTAATAGTAGGTAAAATTAGCTGTTCTTTTTTGCGAATACCCAACCATGAAACGGCCATTCACCAGCGACCCCGTATCTCATTGCATTAGCTCCCTTCACACTTATCAGATATCATGGTACCTTTTCACAAAGTGGGTATAAAAGACCCCCCCCCCTCAAAATATGCGGGTGCCATTACCAGGGGAGACTTCTGTTAAACATACGGGAGCGGAATTTCAAAAAAACAATAAATTATTTGGTCGGGAAAGAAATCTCGCTTGGCCGCACTAGAAAATCAATGATCCAATCTTCATTATCGATCGATTAAGTTCTATTCATTTAGGCTATAGGATTTAAAGACGATTTAAATATGAATACCTTTTCATCTTTACAGGAATTCGGGGGTCCTCATAATAGCCCGCATATAATATTAAGGGGGGGAGAGAGGTGGTACTCTTTCTCACCGCCCGGTTGATGCTATCATTCTTTGACTGAAAAAAGGCACAATACACCGGAAAAGGAAAGTGAGAAATAGATATACTAGCCTTTCCGGGGTGAAAATATGTGTTGAAATAGGTGGGAGAGCCCTTAATGAAAGCATCACTAAATAGGTTGGCAGATAGATAGATGGATAAAATATTTCATGAAATTTTCTGGATAAAAAATTGAGACACAACTGACAGAACTTACTGATTGTAATCACCATCAGGATTATCCAGCTGCTTTAGTTGGTTAACTGAGCTCTCCGAGAGATTAGAATTCGTGACGATTCGAGCTCCAGCTTCGCAACTATTGGAAGAAAAATAAATAAATAAATGAGTTTTAGTATCACCTAAGTTTTAAATTAAAATGCATATGGTATAGTAAATCCCTTCTGAATTAGAAGGGAAAAAGACTTTGCTGTTTCCTCCAGGTTACGTTTTAAAAGAGAGATATACACAAAATAATATTACTTTACAAGATATGAAATATTTACATAATGGGAACAGAAAATATAAAAATGGCTGAATCATATTTGATTAATTTTTTGAATGGCGTTATAGTTAAACAAATTTAAGCAGATCAGAACACTGTCAGTTTACCAAAACGAATTCAGTGCATTCAATGTGTCAAATAATTTTTGTTTAAATTTGCCTCATAAAATCGAACCTCATTTTTACAACTTGAAAAAAAAAATATTTTTAACTTTAAATCATCTGGGCTAAATACCATTGCCAATTTCTTTGCATTCCTAATAAATTAGCACTTGTCGGAACGAGAAATTTTTATTTAAATATAAATCATACACAAAGGTATGGTTGTCGATATTACGCATCGTTCGTTACCAATCAATATGGAATTTAGGGTTCATGCCCCTGTCTTCTGTCACTGTGACAGGGAGAATTGCTTTTCGCATTCCCAACAAGTTGTTCTTCCAGATCAATGGAATTATGTGGAAAGTTAAACAGTAAGATAAGAGGTTCCTTGGATAAGTCCAGAATGACTGAGAATAATGTATCACTATGGCACTTTATTCCTGGAGAATATGAGATCTTGGTGATAAGGCGGTGCAACACCGCATGCATTTTGAACTGCGCTTTTGACAGCGTTCCCTTGGTGTTGGGGAGCTTAACGATTTATCATCCCTCAGTGTCGATTGTTTGGGTGCTCTGGAGGAAGGGGGTGGGGGGAGGTGGGGTGACAAAGTGCAACATTTTTTATATGTCCCTCCAGAAAACATAGTCCAATTGTCTTAGGATCAATCCGACATAATTTCAGCACTGAGCGTTACTTGGCTGTGGTTGTCTTGGGGAATGGTGATACTGAAACGACTTAAATTATGGAAGATTCTATAGTGTGTGTGAGAGCCATTACTTTTGTACTCTCCCTGAATGTTGGATGTAATTTCATGGAATTATTGGCCACGAAGGAAAATAGATTACAATTACCAGAAGAATAATTTACATCAATCTGCTCCAACTGTAGGATTAATTTGATAATCTAAATGCTCATTAATTTAATTAAGCATAGTTTTCATTGCTAATTCAATCTCCCATCCATAACAATGGCAAAGTATAAATTTATTGGCCATAAAAATCTTAACCATGCAGGTAAAACTAACTCTTCTCTCCACGCTTCAGGCTCCCACATGAGAACATTGGAAACTTCCAAAATTTACAATAAAAATGGTTTTTTAATGTATTTTTCCCTTGGCAGAACCAATTCAACCGTGACCCCTTGCCTGTGTGCGTACCATCCCACAGTATCACTTTTTTAATCCCCCCCCCCTCCCCACCCCTCCCCACCCCGCCCCAATCCCTTTCCGCTCTACCCTATCGATGAGACGCATCCAATGCGGCCGTACAAATGTGTTTGCAAACTCCAAAGTGATGGAGGAACGGTAATCCAATCAGATGTAGACATTGTCGCTCTCTAAGAGCCAATACTAAGTAGACATTTCGCCTAAACTCAGCGGCAAATTTACAATCAAATACCAGGAGAAACGCTGAATTTGAATGGTTCATTTTAAAAAATGAGAATAATAAACCCGATAGTGATAGGTTCCATTCCTTTAAATGGACGCACTTATGGGTATAAATTTTAGCTTGAGTAACACAATTTTGAAGTAAGCATCAAAAGCGATTAGGGTTTATCTAAATTTTCAGGCTGAAAATTCCCTATTCCTTCTTGAAATCACTCGACCTTGATATGCATCTAACTCGTTTAGTCATAAAGCCATTATACATTTTATTGCTTGAGTAAGTTAACGCAAAGATATAAGATCTTGCTTTTGGTGAGAGATAGAAGGAGTTTGAATGAATTCTAGATGTTTCCATTCTCAATTGTGGAACATGGAGAGTTTCACAGTTATTTTCAGATGTTTGTTAGAGCTACTCTTGTGAATTTGCAAAATAAAAAAATCTGTACCCCAAAAATTTCCACGAAAATGGGTTGGCACTGAACACACTGTCGGATTGGAGGATGACATTTTGACAAATGGTGATGGCTTAATCACCAAGACCTTTTGCAAGAATCAAAGATTCAAGAGGTACGAAAGTCAAAGTGACTACAATTCATAGAATTGCTAGAATAGTAAGAAATATTACTATATGAATACGAATTCTGATTGGCGTAATCACTTTATGTTGCGGCAACATTTTCCAACCCCAATCCAGTATTATTTCTATAACGAGTCCAAGGTTCTTATCACTGAAATTTATTGAGCAATTTCAATCAAATGCTCTTAAAAATTCTACTAATTTCTACAAATAGGGGTGTGAGAAAGACTTACCTCCACGTGGTGTACCCTGGGCAACGTATAATCATACCCACTGTATGTCATATTCGACCATTTTCACAGCATTCATCTCACCTTACCTTTTTCTTTGTGAATCAGTCTTCTGTTCCCCTTCCCCCTCAACTTGTTGCGACTATGATGTTCCTCCTCCTCTCTGTGAATCCCGAAGTCAACTAAATAACTTATAACTACTCTCATAAAGTCTACCATTTGAAATGAATAACTAAACATTCTTCAAGTATGAAATTCTGACTTTTGCAATTCCTAGTTAAGAGCACAATTACATGAACAGATGAATAACTAACATCAAAACTTACGTGATGGAAATTGGTGAACTCTCAACACGACCGGCTTTGTTAGTTAAAACGCAGACGTAGGATCCACTATCCTCGGGGTAGCAACAGGTGATGTCCAAAACGACCATGCCACGATCAAACATACTACTGAAACGGCTGCCTACAAGAGATGTTTCAAGTCAGTCTTTTTAGGAAACATGTAATCCATGCAAAATTTTCCGACAAGCAGGGCGCGTAAAATTCTAGCTCTTTAGTTAGAACGTAAGAATGCACATAAGAGGTCCGCTTCAATGTGCAGTTGCTGCTTAAAGGTCATGGTGAGATGACTAATTTTCCCTCCATTTTCCCGATCACCTACATTTGGACACGTCGAAGGGTATTAGGGGGATTTTGGGGGAAAGGTTCCAGATTTATGTGTACATACCCGAAATAGGGAGGAGGGAGGGGTGGGGGGAGGGGCTAACAACTAGCAAGGGATAAATGGGGCTAAGTGATTAATATTGGCTTTTTTCCCAGTTGACTTTGTTTATAGAATTAGACAGATTGTAACAACAATCCTTAATAGAAAGTTGCATTGAATTGGTCTTTCACAAATCTCATCTTGTGGGGCCAAAAAGCAAAGCCATAAAATGAAAAAACATAAATAAAGTGGATATAAATATATATTATATAAGATAATTTTTTGTGTTATTCATATTCTATCTCAAGTTTGAGGGTGAATCAATTTATTTTATGAGCGTTTACAAAATCGATAAAATGTCAATAATGCTTCGTTTTGCGTGGGGTGGACCGAAAAACTAAGTAGGGTAGTTTAAAAAATCAATGAACTGGCAAAATTTTATGTTCGTTTTTTGAATAAAACTATATTTATTATTGCGAATCTTGTTTGTTGGGCTTTAATCTGAGAGCTAGCTTTTCGAGAATTAAAACACTGCAAATGAAAGTGAACTCGATAAAATTATTTTGTTTGGATCTGTGAATCTAGTTCACTTGACAGCGAACGTTGGGGTTGGTAAAAGAAGAAAATTAAAGACTACGTGGCCCATCAGAAGAGGATTTTATTTCGTATTCCCTCCTGAAACCTTCAATGCCACTTATTCTAAGTTAAATGACATGAAGAAAATACAAAATTGGGTGACTGAGAGCCATTAAGAAGTGGCAGCGTTAGGCTGAAGAAATGTTACAAAACTCCAAAACAGTAACACACAGGAGGAGTCATCTCTTGTTTTTCTTTACTAACAGAAAGTAAACTACTGTGTCCGTGGCGCCTTTCCCAATGATTCATTTTCAAGTTAACAAGATATCCTGGTTCTGAATGGATATAACGTAAAGTATATTCAGAGAGAAATGACAAAAAACACTATTAACTCCAAAATTTCACTTAGAAACACGAATTTATTCATTTCTGCTGAATATGCTTAACCAGTCTGTTCGGTCTTGCACTTCACTGAATGCGGTCCAGTGAATGTCTGCTTCCTGACCTCTGACTTGACATGTACGCATATACAACGCCACACCATCAAAGCACAAATAAGGCATTAAACGAACCTATTACTATGGGCTCTCCATCTTTAAGCCAGTCGATTTGAAGAGTGGAATCGCCTGTCGGAGACACCTCACCAATGAATCGAGTTCGGTCGCCTTCAGCTAGGTTGGTTTTGGCACAGGTAATCTGTTGACGAAAACTTGGAGGCTCATAGTGAACAGCGTTGTTTTCGGCTGGCTGTCCCATAGACGCCATTGTGTCGTAGGCATTGTTTTGCATTGCCACCGTCTCGTACTGTTCACGTTCTTCTGGAATCACGCTTAAATAAAGAAAGGGCAATATCATACGAACTACCCATCGGACATACAGTAAGTTGAATAATGGAAGGGGAATTGATTGATAAAATCCAGACTTAAATCCGTGAAGCATATTAAGAAAATTCTGAGGCAAAATTGAAGGAATGAATAATAAAAGCTAGCAAAGGAAGCGTTTGGGAATCATGTGAATTCCAGATTTACTCCATTTAATTGCCAATGTAGAGTTAATAATATTCAATTAATTTGGTAGAAATCTGTGTCGTATTAGTACATAGATTGACATTAATGCAAAAAATATGTAAAAATCCAAATTATATATTGGACTTTCAAGAAATGAAAAGAATCGCAACATTTTCGATATGAGTTCCAGTGATTTATATTCTTACTTCTAATGCTATCATATGCTTTAAGTTAATTCCAATGGTAAGGTTATCCTTACGAAGTAGAGTCTACCGAGTTATTGATCACGAGAAATGATTTATACCAAGCTTGAGTAAGAAGCATATTCAAGGTTTTCATGAAATCGATTTTTCTCTGCGTTTTACAGAGCGGACACATTAAACCTAATAGTACAAAATTGATTTAGATTAAGCCTTCACATCAACCAATCGGAAACCTTTCCATAACCTAAAACCAAACGAATTTATTTATAGAAAATTGATATAACCTAATTAGCCCCCAAAATAGCCACAGATCCTCCAACTTAATAATAATGCGAAATAAACAAATTCCAGCAATATATTTTAAATTCTGCTAAGGCTACTTGAATAGAGATTTACATTATCCGAATAACTGCTAAGCAATACTTAATTTAACTTATACAAAAATAATTGATTTCTATTCGGTAAAAATGTGTTTCTCGTGTTTTTTTCTCTATGGTTTGAAGACACTCTTACAATTGTCTGTCTGAAGATTATGCCTCGCTCACAATTAACATTAGCAGATTTAGAAGATGTGAAACATTAATGAAAACCTGGGGGCGGTTTTGTAATTTCTCAGCTAAAGACAATCAATAACAATTGGATAAACCAACGGAGTGAAATATTTAAGATTTCAAATAATTTTTACCCAGAATAGAACCGATTGATTCATAAAAATTATTAGCATATTTCAATATATTGTCAATGAGGGGTGTGCGATAGACTTACCTCCACGTGGTGCACCCTGGGTAACGTATGCTCATAGGGCAAAAAGTCTATTATTCGGCAGTTGACTTCTGACTTCAAACTACCTTCACCCCACTGTATGGCATATTCGACTACTTCCACAGTACTCACCTCACCTTTTTCTACCTTTGTATCTGTCTGTCTCTTTTTCGTCTGTGAATCATTATTCTGTCTCCCTCTCGACGTTTTGCCACTTTGATGTTCATCTTCCTTTCTGTGAAGCCTGAAGTCAACTAAAGGGCTAATTTTACCTATAATAACGCCTGCCA